TATATATATGTAGGCTCCACGGTTGAACGTGTAACAACGTAGAACGCCTTTACCACGGGCACTTGGAACGTTTCAATAGTAAAATAATGGTATTAAACACGAAATGTATTTACTACCAAAGTCTTAATGTTTTTCTACCCCCTTTCGCCTATTATTGCCATAACTTTCTGTAAATGTCGTTCATATGCTCCTGTGCAACACACATGTACACCGCACGCACGCCGCTGTGCACAAACAACAAGAATATATAGTCTATATATTACAAAGAGTAAGGTAATAACTAATAACCCATTATCTTATTATGCGTTATTATCTTACTCTTGATACTACGTAGTCCAGAGCAATGAAGAGCTACAGAACTAGGGATGGCAGTCACCTAGTTCATCTACATTTATAACTTAGCTGAGGTACCGCCACAGCGGGGCAGCAAGTTTACTTGTATAAATTTGTAAACTTACAACAAAACCTAGACCCATAAATTCTGTCCTAGAAACATTTATAATCTGACACTTCTCTATAAATCGAACAGCATCACTGAATCAACCAGCGAAAGCATAAGCATTTCTAGAGCACACTTTATTTCGCTAAACAAAACTGTTTGTTCGCAAACGCTTTGTTGGCTTGCGTTGTGTGTTACAATGGGTTTTGTGAAGTCGCCCGCTAACCGCCACTTGTTAGGTCTAGCGCTACATAAACGCTCTGTTCCGAATATAGAACGATGTATGCTATAGTTACAAGAGCTACTTGTTTCTGAGATCTACGCTACACCTGTGGAGCGGAGGGCTATTACATTGGTAAAATTACTTGTTGGTTTACTTTATTTGTTGTGTTGTGGTTCACAGGCACTTGGACCGTATCAATAATAAAATGATGGTTAATAAATACAACTTGTCAGTACTACTACTAGCCCTACCAGTACCAGTACCAGCAATAGTCTTAATGTTTGATTTGACCTAATAACTTCACTTCAACACCGTCCAATACACCGCTGCAACACATAGCCCGCACGCCATTGTGCATGCACAAATACACAGTGATAATAACTTAATACAGTGTTAATAATAACTTATTATCACTGTGTATTTATGCATGCACAATGGCGTGCGGGCTATGTGTTTGCAGCGGTGTATTGGACGGTGTTGAAGTGAAGTTATTAGGTCAAATCAAACATTAAGACTATTGCTGTTACTGGTACTGGTACTGGTAGGGCTAGTAGTAGTACTGACAAGTTGTAATTATTAACCATAATTTTATTATTGATACGGTCCAAGTGCCTGTGTTGTGGTTTGTTTCGCTTGTATTACTATTAGTTGTTTTCATACTTGCACCCATTCAGGGTATCTGCCGAGTCACGGAGTGTACTTAAATTATGTTCATAGTTCAACGTATGGGCACGAATCCAGTTTATCTGCTCAAGTTTGGCACCCGTGTATATATAGTTCGCATATGTGCTAAACTAATACGGGGGCGCTGTCCGCCGTGTTTTGCCGTGGTCGCACTGTCAGTTCTACCTGCAGTGTTTTACTTGTGTTTACACTTCTACTTGCGGCCACGCAGCCAGTTTACCTCGCATATTTTGCTTGCTAAAGACAGTAAACACCGTAGTGTAGTGTCGTATAGGCTTACCTGTACCAGTCCAGGCCACGCTCGTAATGCTGGTCGAAGAAGTGAGTTTCGGGTCCGACTCCCCGCACGTCCGGGTGCAGACGTATGTACTCCAGGAGCGCTCGCGTGCCACCTTTCTTCACACCAATGATAATCACACTCGGCAGCTTGCGCGTGCCGTTCTCTGTGTGATGCTTGTATTTCACGTTCGGCGACGATCCGTCCGTCGGCCGCGTTGCCTGCGCGACGACGCGCGCGCCGACGTCGTCGTCGCCGCCGTAGTTACTTTCCTCGTCCGAGTCGGCGTATTCGGCGTCGTCGGCAGCGGCGGCGTACACGTCGTCGCCGATGACCGACGTCGCCTGTTCGCTGCTGACGTCCCATAGATTACGTCGGCGATGGAACGCCGACCGTGCGTCGGCGAGTCGGTCGATGTCGCGCAGCGCTGCGTCGGAGACTGCGTCGCTGCTTCCGTCGCAGCAGGTGACGCTGCCGAGAGTGTAGACGCTGACGCAGAGCAGTACCGACGCAGCGACGATGACCACCATGAGCTTGCGTCGGTAGCGCCAGTATCGAGGTTCCATGTCCCTGGCCGACGACAGATCACCAGCAGCAGCGTCGGCGCTCTCTCGCATATTTCAACGACGACAGATCGACGTCGGCTGGCCTCGCATTATCCGTGCACGGCGCTGGCGTCGCTCGTCGTCTCCCCACCGCAGACCGGACGTCCGGTTAGTACACGCATACGATATTCGCGTAGTCGCTCCATGATATCTGCTTGATTTACTTTGAGCGTCTTCTGTCAAACGCACACACACGCACGTGTACACACACCTTTCACTACAACATACACGACGCGCGCTCGCTTGCCTGCGATCCTGTGAACGCACTGTCTCGTCTGCGCCAGCGTGCGCGTACACGATTTGGCGTGACGTCAGACAATAACGGCTGTGATTGGTCGGTGCGCGCGCACGTGACTCGCGCGGGGGCGGGGTCTGGTTGCTGCGGTAGGCACGTGGCTAACAGCGTTGTGTGAGTACGTGAGTGCGAGTGAGTGTGTGTGTGATCGTGGCTGTGACTTTCTCTCTCTCTGTCTATTAAACACACTCTTTTATTGCTGTCCTGTGAGCGCGGCGCGGCGTGCGCGCGGGTTTTTATGGCTTATGAAGGCAGTCGTTAGCGTGTGCCTACCTACACGCGTACGTACATGTGTCCCCACGAAGTCCCATGATGGCGATGTCGTTGATATATTTTTGCAGGTTACTTCGCTACCGTACTGCTGCTGCTGCTGCTGCTGCTGTTGTTGCTGCTGCTGCTGCTGTTGTTGTTGTTGGTGGTGGTGTTGTTGTTGCTGCTGCTACTATTGTTTTGGTTACTACTACTACTACTACTACTACTGCTACTACTACTACTACTACTACTGCTGCTGCTGCTGCTACTACCGCTGCTACTGTTGATGGTGATGGTGATGGTGATGCTACTGCTACTGCTACTGCTACTGCTACTGCTACTGCTACTGCTACTGCTACTGCTACTACTGCTACTGCTACTGCTGCTGCTACTGCTGCTGCTGCTGCTACTGCTGCTGCTGCTGCTAATGCTGCTGCTACTGTTGATGGTGATGGTGATGCTACTGCTACTGCTGCTGCTGCTGCTGCTGCTGCTACTGCTACTGCTACTGCTGCTGCTGCTGCTGCTGCTACTGCTGCTGCTGCTGCCGCTGCTACTGCTGCCGCGTTGCCTTGCTCCTGATCTCTTTTCATACATTCCTATAGCTATCACTTTTGAACGTGACCGGCGTTATGTGATGAAAAGAAAATTCACAAGTGATATGTCGTGTGAATACAATATTTCCGCACTCCAATGCCAATATTTGCCTTGCGCCCAACTGCGAAAACTCGCTTGCTATCGCCATCTACCGCTAAATATAATCGATATTTGTGTGCTTTCACGAATAGTTTTGCCACGAGGTGGCAGGACCTTTCAGTACCCGAGCAAACTAAGCATGTCAAACGCATTTTCTCGGTTTTGTAAGGCGATATCAAAATTTGAGAGACTGAACAGACTCAGATATTTCAGGATTCAGCCATTTAAAGGGCGGATTGCCCACTTTCACAGCTGTATTCGATTAACCCAGTTGCTGCAGCCAAAATCTCAACGACTACTCAAAATCAAATTACATCGTAGCCCATAGCAAATATATAACATCTAACATCATTACATAGCTCTGTTACATCAAAGTTCTGTGACAGTGTCGCCTATTTTGCTGAGTAACATGCATAAATAATTTTGGTTGGAATTAATTCCCAGGTTTGTGCAGATTTATGAAGATAACATGAAGATCTAGAAATAGGTTTCGAGAATTACAAGAGACTTTACGATATATGTGTTTAAAATAGCTGTTGCGAATAGCGTTTAGAAATTCACTAAATAATTGTTTGTCTTGAATAAATACGCAAAAGCTTTCAATTTCCCAATTTCAAAAACGTTTCATTTCCTTGGTAACTCTATTACATTCCACGAATAAACGAAAATCGCGTCTGCTATGGCAACAGCGAATTGAAATGTGAATTAAATTACTACACACAAAATCGGAAATGCAAGTACTATACCATATTAAATAATAATAAATAATAATATGAAAGACGAAGAAAAAATGACCCCGAACACAGATTGGATTTTCATCAGAGCTATACATTGTATCACGAGCTAATATTATTGTTATTATTATTATTATTATTATTATTTGCGAATACTTATCAACTACGCAGTGCAGTGAGGTTTATGGTAGCGGGAGCAACTACGCTAAGGAGCGCTGGGTATACATCGAGTTTCATAGGAATAACCGTGATACGAATGTGATAATGGACCACCGTAAAGCTGAGAACAATATATACATGTATGTATATGTATGTAAAAATGTACAAAAGGTACCGATTGTCATCTAACAAAAATCGACGAGTCCGTAAGCAGTGGCGCCCTCTTTGGGAACATTATGGTAGTTAATGGTGAACTCGAGCACGGTGCATACGTCTCAGTGTCGCTGTTCTACGATTTCCTGTTAAAACGAGTAAAAATTTCATGTTTAATCATTAAAGATTTTATTGAAACAGAAAGAAGGTTTCCGTGTAACTATGTGTCATATGCTTACAGAGTTATGAGTTGTTATCATTGTTTATGCGGCAAAAAAATGTTTCGTACTAATAACACCGCAAACATTACAGAATATCCGAACATATAATTACAGTTAACAGCCTACGTTCGATACCTGGAACTGACTTGATTCTGACGTCACGGTGACGTATCGTCTGCGTCTTTCTTTCTCTATGTTATGTCTCCCGATAGGTAGCAGCACGAGTACGAACAGGCTGCTGATGACACTCACACATCCGGCCATGTAATATGCTGCCGACGTTGTTTGGAAAGCGTCGTTTAGGCGACCTGGACAGAAAACATTCTGTTACACACAGGGTTGACATTTCCTAGGAAAAATCGTCTAAATAAAAAGGAAAAAATTCTAATTAATTTAATTTTTTTAGCTATATACCTACGGGTTAGGATGGCAATAGTTGTAGCTGAATCATTTCTATTAATTATAAGGCGTTATTAAGCAGCTGATAACCAACTGTCAGCGTTGATATACAACGTGCCAATCTGCGATACGTCAATGAATAAAATGCTGAAGTAACTTCAATAAGTGTCTATAATATAATACAGACCGCCAACAGGAGCGCCTATGACATATTCCAAGCCATCACAAACCAGCAGCCATCCCATTGTAGCCATGAGCTTCTTCTGACCAAACAAGTCAACACAAACTTTTGGCCATGCCGCTGACACCATTCCGGTTTCCATTCCATTCCGGATTCTATAGAGGAACTAGCGGTATACCCGTCGTTGCCCAGGGAAATCCGTGGCGTTACACAGCTGGTGACCGCTTGGTTGAAATGAAAATACCCCAAAAATCTAAATATCTATCTCTCCATGCATCCATCCATGCATCCATCTATCCATCTATCCCATTCCATGCCATCCCATCCCATCGCACCGCATCCCATCCCATATCCCATCCCATCTCATCCCATTCAGTGCCATCGCATCCCATCCCATCGCACCGCATCCCATCCCATCCCATCCCATATCCTATCCCATCCCATCCCATTCCATCCTTTGCCATGCCATGCCAGGCCATCCCATGCCATCCCATCCCATCCCAAACAGGACACTTAACAATACTTCGCAACACTTACCCCTGTTTAATAAAACTTAGCAATACTTGACAACACTTAGCAATGTTTGGCAACATTTAACAATACTTTGCAACACCTACCCATCTTTGATAACGCTAAGCAATAATTGACAACACTTAGCAATGCTTAAGGACTGGCAATATTTGGCAGCACTTAGCAATGCTTAACAACACTAGTCAAAAATACTTTTCTGATTGTTTTAACGTGATTGACCATAGAAAATGTTAACCATATAATGTCACTGTGACCAATTTAAAATTGCCTGTCTATCATGTCTATTGCTTTTGGGACTCGGCAGTGATATGTGTTTATTGTTTCTAACAAGTGCTCATCGTTGTCCACTCTCGTGCTGCTCTTATTATAGGTACCACGATGCCAAATCCGCCAATCAGCATTGGGATAGGTTAGAGAATGAGTTCCTTTTTGAGTGTCTGCATACGCTAGAATTTTTATTTCTTATTAGAAAAGATTATAACTGTTTGCAATTGTTAATTTCAGAAACTAGAATCTATTCTAAATCCGACAGTGTAAACGAGGTGCGTTTCTGGGCCGGCCCATAAATTTCCAAAGAAAGCCTACTTTTTGTG